CAATGAAAGACTTTTCGGAATTTACTGGACAAGGGATATTAGATGGAGGGATCGCTGAAACGAAACATGAAAGGGTCGAATTGAGGTTGCGCTCTTCCTCCTCGCTTGCAGATCAGTGCCAATATTTATCAGTGGTTTGCAGTTCTCTCCAGTCGATCTACAGTCCGGTTCGATGCGAATGCTGGGGCGTGCCAGGGCCTGGATTTGGCCAGTTGTTGCTGCTCGCCCGCTTTAACAAATGGTGGAAAACGGGTTGGCGGCGCGCCAAACCCTTCAGTCCTCTGCAGCTGTCCGTGCGCTTCACCCATTCCATATCACTGTTCTGTTCAAATTTTGCCTTCCGAACATAATTCAGAACTGAAAAAGTTCCAGTGTTTTCAGTGTCAATTCTGGGCTTTGCAGGCACACACAATGGACTTAGAATTCGATGGTCGCCGTTCCGGGAAACGCTAGCTTGGCAAGGTACTGAAATAGGATTTTTTGATCTAAACCGCCAACTCACTTTCCTCTGGGGTACATAAAAGGTTGTTCCATTCCCGTCCAAGGGCTCGTACAAGACGGAAGCTTAGTTACCTCTTTGCTTTCGACCACCCCCCTTCCCTCAATATTTCTCATTTAGTCGGCGTTTCATTAGTCGGGAAATCTTCCAATTTCACTGATTTTCCTATTTCGATTAAGAGCTAGGAAGCCATAAAAAAACGAGATAAGGTCTTCCCCGCTCTTGATCAATCCCCTTGTGAGGATGCGATATCATTCCACTTCCATTCAGAATTGTATCGGCTTATTGAATGCAAAGTCCTATTCATTGCCTTGCGCAGGCCAACCAATGTACAATTCAGTGTTCTTAACCTCCCAAACGAATTTGGTACCGAATTTGCCGTCCCGGAGGGTAGAAGGCTTGGTTGGCCTGGGCGGGAGTCGACGGGATTCGAACCCTGGACCGCGCGGCTAGTAAGCGTGTCCACTTGTCACTACACCACCTCAGCCTCCTAGAAGCCCATAATGGAAGTAATTAAACGCTACTGCGATACACATGAAAGC